ATCATATGAACATGATCATATGAACATGCACACATGAACATGATCATATGAACATGCACATATGAACATGATCATATGAACATGCACACATGAACCTGTGGGTGATGATGAGGCGTCATGTGTGAGACATGTTGGCGACATCCTGCTGGAGTACGTGCTGTGGGCCACGAGAGGGAAGAGCCTTGTTTCCATAGTTTCATCCTTCACCTCCTCAGAGGGTTGTGATGTCACAGCTGCTGCTGCTCCTCCTCCTCCTCCTCTCCCCCTTGTTTTAACTGTTGTCAGCGATGAGTCACCAGCTCAACACCTCAGTGGTTCTTCCTCTGACGTTCAGAAGCTTCGCCCGGGCTGCAAGGTAAAGAGGCTCGTCCATGGTGGCTGGTTTGTTTGGGACCTTTGTTGTCAGATTTGAGTTTGAGTCCTCTGGTTGTATTAGACTTGTGGTTTCTTTGTTATAGTACAACGATCATGGGTTCATAAGGATATTAGATGTTTCTATGATGTTTTACTTCAATGTGTAATAAGGAGCCGTTCACTTTGAGCTATTTGTGGATCGGATAGAAACAGACATGTCTGAGAGAAGGATGTTTTCACTCCGGCCTGTTTTTGTGTTGGTTTGTCAGCAAGATCACACAAAATCAACTGAACAGAAGATTGTCAGTAACCTTGGTGGAAGAATGAGACATGTTTGTATGTCTGTCCTCATGTTCGTCCGTTAGTTTGTCGGCAGGATATTAATGTGTGATCAGGATCTGACCGGTAGACTAGTATCGTGCTGGATCATTTTGATGAAGAGGGACCTGAGGCAGGAGACAAAGCTTTTTGATTTATCAGTGTATCTTCACATGGACCCTCACCTATGATCATGAGCTCTGGGCGGTGGGGGAAAAGAACGAGATCACAAATAATAAAATGCGTTTACAGAGCCTGCTGTGTTACTGGGCTCAATGTCTGTGCTTTTTCTCAGGTGGTATCTCCTGACAGACTCTGGAACCATCTTAGCTACTGGAAGGAATCGAGCGTGAACAGTGATCCGACATGTTACAGGAGTGAGGTCGAGCAGGGGCGCTACCTTCACCTCCCTCACATCCCTACTCCTCCACCGACCTGAGCAGGGAAATCAGGTGTGATAGTCTCGTTCAGTTCATCTCCCCGTCTGTGCTGCTTTATTCTGCTGTCTGACTCTGTTTTACTTTGCAGCTCAGGCAGCATAACACACTGTGATAACCAGAGGCATGATGGGAGTCCCTGCCCTCTGGGCCGTGCTGCTAACTTTCATCTGTCACAGCCGCGGCCTGGAAATACAAAGCCCCCGGTATTGGTCCAAAAGGTACGATGATCTCCAATTTTACACAAGGCCTCCAATTTACCTTTTCAGGTTCCAAACCAATTTAATAAATGTTCCAAAGTTCGCTGCACAAACTGGAACGGACCTTTTACTTCACGAATGAATAAACCACACTGTTCCTTTGTTCCTCTCTCAGGTCTCAGGAAAACATCTTGTTGGATCCCAGCGGCTGTGCGTCCAGGTCCAAGCAGCAGCAGGTGATAACAAACCCTCACAACTTCTCTGTGGACATCCGGATGCCTGGTGTGATCCCGGCCGGGGTGAGTCTGCTTCTGTTAAGCGTCGTGCTGAGGGGGGGTAGGGTCCAGTAAACCTTTCTTCCTTTCAACCAAAGAAACACAGAGTAGCTTCATTAGAGGTGTAACGATCTGGCTCAATTAAATTAATTCACGAATATATAACGTATTGATGCAAGAGTGGAAACCTTGTTAAACACACAGAAGCAGTGACGTGTTTTTAATTTAAAGTCAAAACCGAACTCACATGAAAATTTCTTATTTTAGTTGCTTTGTGATATAAATGTAACTGATTGTGGAAAATGAGCATATCAATTTTTTTTTGTGATATTAGTGATTAGTGTATATATATATATATATATATATCTCTAGATAGAAAACATCTTATTATTGTCCAGAGAAACGATCATATCTTGATGAATCTGTGGATTCACACTAGTTTTTATTTCCTCAGCCACAGCGAGCCAAATAGTTTACTGAATATTATTCACCAGTCAAAATTACACATATTCCAACTTGAATATATTTGTGTCTTTAAATATCAGTTATGAATACTAATAATACAAACATGTAGCTGAAACCTTCACTGTCATTCAGTGACTAATATCATTGTGTTCTTCCATGTTTCAGTCGGACACTTACCTCTGCATGGCGTTTCCTGTGCCAACTAGTCGAGATGCATATATCGGTGAGTATATCTTTAAAATGTGTTTTTATGGCTGAACAAACAGCGTGAAGATGTGTTTGTGATCAGTGCCTTTTACATCTCCAGTATCGACGACACCCACGGAACCTTGGTGTTTGTACAGAGGAGCGTCAGAACTTCTCTGGACAACAAATCCAGCAGAGACGCTTACAGTTCATTAACTATTCACTATTTTAACCACAGTGCTCTTCTTCCTCAGTGGACTTCATACCTCATGCCAGTATGGACACAGTCCATCACATGCTGCTGTTTGGCTGTCAGACTCCCGTCTCCAGAAGCAGCTACTGGTAATATCACACTTCGGCTCACAGCTCAGTCTGAAATTAATAAAGACAAAGTGTAAAGATTCTTCAGAACATAAGATGATGGCAGCAGCTGTTCTTCTGTGATTCCCTGTGGTCTCCCACGTGTCCGTTCATACACAAAGTGTAATATTGATTGTGTCACTGTTCAGGGACTGTGGCAGCGTACAAGGCACGTGTGAGGATGAAGCCTCCATCATGTACGCCTGGGCTCGGAACGCACCTCCTACCAAACTACCCAAAGGTTTGTCTCTTGGGACGTTTTCACACCAGAACCAAGCTTCATGTCTTGGTTTCACATTGTAGTGGAGGGACTAAAGAATTTAGTTTGACATATGTACGTAACCTTTACTTGACTCTGATTGGTTTGTAGACGGCGTGCGTGCAATGTCAGGTGGGGGGGGTAGTAGTCTTTTAGTTTAAATGGAGAAAATGAAAGTGGTAGTGAATTGTCTCTCTCTCCGGAGTTTCATGTCGTCCTCTGATCTCTGCTCTTCTTTGTCTCATCAGATGTTGGTTTTAAAGTTGGAAGGAATTCAGGAATGTCTTACTTCGTGCTGCAGATCCATTACGGAGATGTCAGTGCTTTCAGGGGTGAGTTTCAACTTCTGACATTGAGGTTTCACAGGGAGGATTTTATGTATCTGTTAAAATCTATTCAGTCAAGGTCTGAGGAGATCCAGCTATATATGAACTTTTATTTATATTTTAATACATTTATCACAACCGTAAACTGAGTCACCAGTTTATTAGAAAGTCCTGCACATCCAATACAGCAGCCAGCAATAAAGCCTTGTACAATACCTGTGACACTGCATCAAACATTCAACTTGATATCTGTTCTGCTTTTTTAATCTTTAATCTGACTTCATCCTGTCATGGTTGTCTTTCTAGCCAATGATCTACTTCCCTGATTCATCTGATTCATGCCTCTAGTGACTTACAGCTTGTGTATTTATGTTCTGCAGACCATCACAGAGACTGCTCAGGACTCTCCTTAAGAATGACATCCAAGCCGTAAGTGTTTTCTGCTGAGATCTGAATGAAAACCTCTCACTGAAGGAACCTGTGGAAGTTTGTGTCTGTGAGTTTAGACAGATCTTGTTTTTACTGAGAACCAGGAACAATATTCATGAAGGGAACAGGAATGTGAAGGAAACTGATGAAGAGTCATAAAAAAAGTTGTGTGAGGCTAAATGGTCTCCTGCCCTCTAACTGTGTCCCTGTGTGCACTTCTCAAAGGCAGCCTTTCATCGCAGGAATATACCTGCTCATGTCCGTGGATACAGTCATCCTGCCCGGGAAAACAGGTGTGTTTGTTTATCTTTTCCTACATTTCCATTTGTCAGGGTCAAAGATTTCATATTCAAGCTTACTTATTAAATTGCTTATCTTCCAGATATCGTGAATAACTTTAGCATAATGGCAGCTGGCGTATCTAACACACAATCTGCTTCAGTACACTTGATTCATCCTCCTCTGTGGAACCTGAAACTTCCTGTCAACAAGCAACAGCGTTCAGGGTCGAGAAAACTGAGCCAAAGACCCAAAAAACACGTTCCATGTAATTTGAGTTCAGGCAGAAAATAAACAGGTTGAGTCACAGTGGGAAATACAAAGCACACACTGTGGAGCATCTTTATTCTTAGTCTGCACATTGAAGTACTGCTGTCGTTACTTTTTCTTTGTTAGTTACAAACGCAGACGTCGCCTGTGATTACTCGTCATATCCCATCTACCCGTTCGCCTTCAGGACCCACACACATCACCTCGGTGAGTCACACGCAGAGTTTAGTTCAGAGAAGCTTTCGTCTCATTGGTGTCAGGTTCAGGATCGTCTGGATGTTTCTGTTGCAGGTAAAGTGGTCAGCGGCTACAGGATCCGAAACGGAAAGTGGAGCCTGATTGGACGACAGTCCCCACAGTTACCACAGGTACATTATCACATCGGCAGCTGATTGGTTAACAGCACGTAACCATGGGTAACCATGTCATGTGGTTCCCTCCCCTCATTTCCTGTCTGCTTCTATTTCACGTCGTATAATAACCCACTCTTTGCTGTTGCCTGGGACCTTGTGCTAGATGTCTTTATCGTAGCTTAGCTTCGGTTAGCACAGTGACTATAAACTGGGGAAACAGCTGGTCGGGCTCCGTCTGTACATTGAACAGCTACGAGCACCTTTTAAAGTTTCATATAATCTCATTTGTTTCATACATAAAATCCACAGTCATAGGTTTTTGTGTTTCAGCTTAAAGAGCCTCAAGTTGCTGTTAGAATATTCTGGTGACTTTATCCCAGAGAACCTTTTCTAAGTTGCCCCCGGTTCTTAGAAGAGTTGATAATCATATAAAGAATAAAGACCAAGGATACATTAATCACCAGAGGCGTAAGAGCACAGTGCTGTTGTCTCATTGTTCAGCAGTGAATGTGTTTTCTCTCCAGGCGTTTTATCCTGCTCACGAGGAGCTGGACGTGAAGTACGGTGACACCGTCGCTGCCAGATGTGTTTTTACTGGTGAGGGCAGAACCTCCAAAACCTACATCGGGTGAGTTCTGTTGTAAAAACTGTTTGAAAACGTTTAGATGAGAATTCCGAGGAAACACGATGCTTTTGGAAGAATTAAGTGACATGTGCCTAAAAATGACCATTTTATTTTCACAGTTTTTGAAAAAGAGCAAGAGAAAGAATGTGAGAGGTCATGTTAGAAATGAACTCTGTTAGAAATCAACGTGCTCTCCTGAAAGTGATGTTAGGACAAGAAATAACCAAAGTCAACCACTGGAGCCGAGTGGTGTGTTTATGTACTCTTCTGTTTTCTATGCAGAGGCACCTCTGATGATGAAATGTGCAACTTCTATATAATGTTCTACATGGACAGCAAACATGCCATCCCCTACATGAACTGCATGGAGACGGGCTCCAAAGATCTGTTTCAACATATTCCTGCTGAGGCCAATGTTCCCATCGCTGTCGACCCAGATCACATGATGATGCATATGGGAAAATCAACGAGTACGCACGGTAACCTCTAACCCATCAAACAGACTTTGTCTTACAAACCCAAAGTTAATCAATGCAGCATTTTATACACAACGTAATTCTCTCCTTGTGTTCTTCAGATGATCAAGATGACAGATCTGTGTTGGATGCAAACAAAGCAGTGCAGACTCTGGATCAGGGTGAGTTCAAGGATTACCAGGAATACTGGGTTATTACTCCACTATGGTATTTAAATTCAATAAAATATGGTAGTGTTTGGTTATTGCAGTCACAAATAAAAGGAGACATAGTGGACGAGTACACATTCTGCTGGATTCACTGAATGCTGGATTTACTTACTACAGATATAATAAAATAATAAGAGCCACGAGTAAGAATGTCGCGGCAGAAACACGACGTGTATAAACGGTGTCGTCAGCGTAACCCTCACACAAACAAACAAAGGAGCAACTCACTATTTTCTCAGGAAACCATGTCCTCAGTTTCAGAGGTCACAAGCTGCCGCATTGCATGCTGGATGTTACGGAGAGATAATGGAACACAGCCACATCATCTGCAAGAAGCAGAACTGGACTCACAGGATCATGTAGGAGTAACAACCCTGCTGGAGGTCAGCGCCAACTGGAACGTGTTTGACTACTTGGCGAGAATATGGACACAACTTCTCCTGTTATATAAGGTCTCGCTCTCCTGCAGGATCTGAACAAAGACTGGAGTTCAACAAGGACACCTCCGACAGGTCTGTCCAAGGCCTGCCTTCCCATGATCCAAGGGTAGAGCAACCAAACCTGGGGCTGGTTACACATCACAAAGGTCATAGGTGTTGAGCCCGACTCTGGAGTCCAGACACTAGTCTTCCTGTATCAACAGCTCATTCACATCAATGACGTCAAAACCCTTTCCCAGAGTTACAGGATCCAGGTCAGGCATCGATCTCCATGGATCCACAGAGACGTCCATGACTGTGACGACGGTTATTTTGAGAGGGCTCCAATCAACTTACCTCTTTGCTCTGAAGATGCTCCGATCTGGAATCTCTTCACATGCTGTTCACGAGGATGTTTTCCTGGTCGTGTTGAAGAGAGACGGCGTCTGCAGGTCAGGTAGCCTCGAGGATGGAATCTGCAACACAACCAGTCTTTTGACCCACATGAGCCTGCTGGAGTTTACTGTAAAAGAAAGATCCCTTCTTCCATCAGTCATGTTGGGTCCGTGTGGCTGGAGGAGGAAGAGAAGAACATCTTGAATGCATCAGCTCTGCAAAGTCCATTTTTTTATTACGCAGCGTCCACCAAAGCACTCACACTAAACTGTTTTCTACAACACTTTCCTAACAAACCCCTTCACCAGCCTTCCTGACAAAACCACGGCATTTGCTTTGTGTAGCAAGACTTTCCTCCTTTTCCTTGTACTTTATTTCCACTCTTTTCTGTCCTTCTCTGTCTGTGCAGGTGACCTCTATTCTCTTATGTCCAAGCTGCTAGGCCAGAGTAACGACATAGTTCACATTCATAAGTTCAACCCCAACGAGATGCAGAGAGCCCAGGCGGAGCTGGTGGCTGAGATTGATAGCTTAATGCAAAAGAAAGGCCTGGGCTCTCCCAGTGCCACACTAGCCTTCCAACCCAGGGAGGACCCTGTTTTGGTGAGGGACAGAGTCCACAGGTTCCACCAGCTTGAGGCCACGGCCAAGTCCCCAAGAAGCCAGCTGGTAGCTGAAGGACAAGGTGGGTCCTGGATGCTATTTTATTGTTGTTGTCAGTGGTGCTGAAAAGATCCTTTTTCTTTGCGTGGTCCAATATTCTGTAACTGTATTTTCACATCTCTTCATTTGTTGCATGGAAGTAAAGCCAATAAAACCAATAACAAATAGATGAATGGAATAGTCTTTTTTAATTTCTAGCTGTTGCATCCTTTGTTTCCTTATTTCTGTCGCCTCTCTCCTCGTCTGTTTCTTTGTTGCCATTCAGGGATATGTTCTCACAGCACCCCCACCCTCGCAGCGCTGTGCTGGTTTCAGTCTGAATGTCTGATCATCATTCATCTTCCCCATGGAAACAGCTGCAACACGTTTGTCTGTCGTCAGTGCAGCGGGTTGATTGTTGAAAGGTTTCTTACAAACAGACAAGATGCATGATCATTGAATAAGGAACAAGGTTTGCTCGGTGTGTTTCCTTCCTCTTTAGTGTTTTTATAAAAGAGTCCTGTCATGTTCTCGAGCTAACGCTTCCTCTTGGTTGCAGACAAGATTGACACCATTGGCATGAATGGAAATAGGGACCAGTTCAATAATTCTTATGTAGCATGTGTGAGTGGGCTGATGACGTCACCTCTGTGTTAACATAAAGAACAAAGTCCTGGAATATCCAAAAAGAAAAATCAAGAAGAAACCAAGTCCCTGAACCTGCTGCTGCAAACCTGCAGCCACTGAGCCCTGATGGTGGCTTTTATGAGGACGAGTGTTCCAACTAAGATTCTCTCCAGTAACAGCAACAAAAAGAGGAGGTCTTCAGAAGAGAAGGAGGAGAAGAAGAAGAAACAGTGAGAGCAGAGAGAGAAACTTATAGGAAACCACTTCCTCACACTGGTGAACCGTCTTCCGGCTAATGAGTCCATCTCATCTTCCTCTTCTCACAAGTCATCTCAACAAACCGACGGATCCAGGTTCATGACCTGGATCGACATTTAGTCGATCAGATCATTTACAGTCAAATTGGGGGGTGAATACCACAGAGTGATTGACAGCTAGTACCATCCAATGGTTGCAGGTGGGTGTGTCCTCGAGCTCTCAATCAGGCTCCTCCTCTCCTCCAAATATGGTTACTTCTGGTTTCAAAAAACCAAGATGGCGCTGAACACGATGTGAAACTGAGGCTCACAAACCAACTGGTGACGTCACGGTGGTTCGATTCCTGGTTTTAGCTGCTTTTTAAAGACCTCGGGACGACCAGTAGTAACAATCGGTGTGAGAGCAGGTCCGAGGCTCGCTTCTGTCCTGGGTAGAGAACCTGAGCGCTTGGTTTGAAGTGTGGGCGTGCACAAGAGCCAGAGTCACCACTCCGCCACATTCTCTATGTGATGCACCAGTCGTGTGTGTGTGTTCATGTTAACTCATTGAAACATCTTGTGTGTGTGTGTGTGTGTGTGTGTAGATCATTTGGAGCTTGTGTCGACGTGGCCTCAGAGTTCTCTCCAGCTCGGTCAAGTGTCAGGACTCGCCCTCGACTCCGATTCTAATTTGGTCATTTTCCACAGAGGGGACCACCACTGGGGGGCAGAGTGAGTCGCTTTTACTTAAGTTAACATCTGTTGATCCACGTCTTCTGTCAAACCGTGGACATGATGAATGTTGTCACACATCGTCTCTCTGTGCGTCTCTCTCCAGCTCCTTCAACAGCCAGGCCAGATACCAGCACAGGTCCCTGGGTCCCATCCAGCAGTCCACCATTTTGGTTGTGGATCCAGTCAAAGGCAACATCCTGAAGGCTTCAGGCAGAAACATGTCAGTTACTATTGTTGTCTTTGTCATGAGACGGAGTGTTGAACTCATTTCACATGAGTGTCCCTCACAAAGTAAACAGATAATCTTGGGTCACACCTCTGATAATGTTTGAGAGTGGGAAAAAGAAAAGAAAGAAAAATCAGATCCCCCCAAAAAAACAATTCTTCCACCCTTTGGTCCAATCCAGAGACAAATCCACCACAGGGAGGAGAGACAGATGGTTTCAAACTCAAGAGATGACTCGTGTTTCTTTTGTACGTCCTGCTGAGTGAACACTCACCGTGATGCATCTGTGTGGTTTTGCAGGTTTTATATGCCTCATGGAATAACGACAGACAAAGAAAATAACTACTGGGTCACTGACGTGGCTCTTCATCAGGTAAGATCTTCCAGTCTCAGCACGTCAGGGGATCGTCTTTGTCCTTCTGCTCTCTTCTTCTTGAAAATAGAATCTATAAATAATTAAACTCTATCAGATGATCGATTTAGTGGGTCAGGGTTCGGTTTAATGACAGACTGAGGTTTAATAAACGGCTCAACACATGATGAAACTGTTCTCTGCTCCTCAGGTGTTAAAGGTGAGCGGTGACGGCGGAGACAGAACGTTGCTGACGCTAGGAGAAGCATTCAAACCAGGAAGTGACAGCAGCCACTTCTGTCAGCCCACTGACGTCGCTGTGGACACGGACACAGGAAACATCTTCGTGTCTGACGGATACTGTAACTCCAGGATACTGAAGTTCTCCTCTGACGGCAAATACCTGTCTGAGTGGAGCGCAGGTACACTCACACACACACACACACACACACACACACACACACACACAGTCTCAAAAGCTCTTTTCAGACATGAACTGAAGTCCTCACATGTTCCTGACATGTTCCTGACATGTTCCTCACATGTTCCTCACATGTTCTGTTTGTGAGAACAAATGTCTGAGTCAGTGTCTCTGGACATGTTCTGGATCTTCTCCTGCAGCCTCTAGTTCATGTGAGAAAACTGAAAGATGTCCATCTTTTGTTGTGTGATAATTTGAGATGTGATAACTCATCTTTAAATCTGCTCATATTCAGCTCAGTGTTATTTTCTCCTGTGTGAAGGTTCGTCCGACAGGAGGAGGCGCTTGCCGTTCCGGGTTCCTCACAGTCTGGTGTTCCTTCCTGACAGACGGGAGGTTTGTGTTGCTGACAGAGAGAACGGACGTATTCAGTGTTTCATCGCTGAAACAGGAGAGTTTGTTAAAGAAATAAAGAAGGAGGAGTTTGGAGGGGAAGTGTTTGCCATCAACTACAGTCCTGCAGGAGGTGAGTGTGAGCCAGTAGATGCCCGTCAACTTTTACCATCACTATGTTATCAGGGGCCATTTAAACTGTGTGTGTGTGTGTGTGTGTGTGTGTGTGTGTGTGTGTGTAGATGGCTTGATCTTTGCAGTAAATGGAGAATCTCCGTATCGCTCGGCTCCACTCAGAGGTTTTGTCATAAATTATTCAACCAAGGATATTTTGGACACGTTCAGCCCCAAGACACAGGTGAAGACACACACACACACACACACACACACACACACACACACACACACGTGACAGCTGAAGGTCCTCAGATGAATCAGAGGTAGAAAGACATCGGTTTATAAAATGTGACCTGTAGCTTCTTGAGTTTCTTTCTTTCTGTCTGAAATCTACAGACGCAGTCCGTCATTCAGTCTGAAATATATTTTACTCTTTTAAGATGCTAATGATTCATTTTTCTGGATTTTGTTTTTCTTGCAGGAGTTTATGATGCCTCATGACATCGTTCAAACCAGAGACGGCAGCGTGTTTGTCGGAGACGCAGGCAGTAATTCAGTCTTCAAGTTTACCAGTGAGAGTAAGTTCAGCTCCCTCCTCCCTCCCTCCTTCCTCCCTCCTCCCTCCCTCCTCCCTCCCTCCTCCTCTTAATGGGTTGGGCCCAGGAGGATCCTGACTTGATGCCCCACCTTTCATTTCTGAGCCCAAACACCTGACGGAGAAAACTCATTTCAGCTGCTTGTGTCTGTGATGTCATCACTTCACTCATGATTTCATGTCTGTTGTTGTTTGGATGAATTATCTGTAAATGAACTTGTGACTCATCTGAATGATTCTTTCCTCGTGTTCCAGAGTTCCACCGCTCTGTGAAGAAAGCTGGCATCGAGGTTCAGGAGCTCGAAGGTGAGAGTTGTTGAGTTTCAGGTTTTACAGTCAACGTGTTGATGGACACTGAGGCCGGAGCTCGATGTACGAAGTGTTCGAACCGTCAGAGGACGAGGAGCTGTGTTCATACTGTGGTGCTACACGTTTAGAAGTTTCAGTGGGAACACGATAGCTCAGATCTTTTTCAGGGAATTTCTTCTAATGTGGTGAAAACGTTCAGACTCACAGATGAACTGATCCGATTTGGGAGGTCAGAGGTCACAGTGACCTCACATGAAACTGAGCTGGTGGATGGAGACAAACAGACTCATGGATGTGATTCTAATTATTTTCCTGTGATTAAAAAAAGATTTCCTCTCCGTGTAGAAATGGAGACGTTTGTTCAAACTAAACTGAGGCCTGAACACAACACGTCGAAGACGACGGTCGTCAAGGAGAAGCAAAGTGTCGCTCTGCAGCCTGAAGCACAGAAAGAGACGGAGGAGGAGGAGAAGAAGAGAGTGTTGAAAACAAAGGGAGGCGAGGGGGTTCTCCCCGCCGTCATCACCACGCTGCTGCTCGTCCCGCTGCTGCTCGTCTTATCCACCGGTGTCTTCATCTGCTGGAGGAGAAACCGTACGTATGAGAGGACGTGAAGTAGAGCAGACGTTCAGAGACTCTTCCTGAACTGAGCTGAATGTTCACCCAGCTCTGCTCTGTATTTACAGATCGCTCTGAGCTGAAGAGTGAGCCCAGCTCTGTGGGAGGGATCCTGGGGAAAATAAGAGGTAGGTCATTTATGAGATTTAGGATTTTACTCACTGTGTGGTTCTGTGGAGACTTGATCCACTTCTCTATGTTTCACTGTGAATGTTGAATTTGATGAACACTCTTCTGCTCAACACTGAACCAGAGCGTCGGCCTGATGTTGTCCTGAACATCACAGATGTGTGTGACAGACGTCTGTGAGTATCTGTTAAACACTGTTCTCTCCGCTCGTGTTCTCGCAGGTAAAGCAGTCGGCGGTCTGAATCTGGGGAACTTCTTTGCGTCCCATAAGGGTTACAGTCGTCAGGGCTTCGACCAGCTGAGCACCGAAGGCAGCGACCAGGAGCGGAACGAGGAGGACAGCAGCGACTCCGAGAACGAGGAGTACTCCGCTCTGCCACCGCCTCAGTCCTCGTCTTAGACGCTCCGCCACCCGACGACAACCTTCTGCTTACATTGCCAAGATGTATGTTATTCATCAAGTGTAACTGTTGTGTTAGCTGCCAATCTTATTGTTTCTATATTGAAATCTATATACTGTAAATACAGATAATTTGACATGATTTAGGTTATTTAATATAATTTATCTGGTCTCCATCATATTCACACGTCACCTTAAACCTTTTGGTTTTCCACAAATCAAACGTGCAGAAGTTGAAGTGATGAGAACGATCCACACGTTCAGATTCAGCCTTAAACTACAGATGTTCGTGCAGTTCAACTTGTTTCAGGGATTCTTCCAGAAACGAGAATCACGAACTTGGAGAAAATCCAGAAATTCTTAAGAGAAGTTTAGTTTTTTGGAAACAAGTAAAAACGAATCTGAGCCCAACACAAACGTCGCTGAGAGACGGGCATGAGTCAAATCTTTCATTTTCTTTATTTACAGTCAAAGTCGCCTGTGAGGAAACTTTAGGGTCTCTGTTTCCATGGCAACACTCTGCCCAGCACAAGTTGACCTGTAACTCAGGATCTGACACACGTTGATGTGGTTGAATCAACACTATGTAACAGTTACTGAGCAACAGCGCCCCCTGCAGCCACAGTGGTGAGAGACGTCTGAGTGATGAAGTGTTTTCACTGACCCATGATCCTCTGCTTCCTGAGCCACCAAGCTCTTCAGAGTTCTTCATGTTTGAAAGTTTCTGCTGAACATTGGAGATAAACTCTGGTTGTTAAGAACTGATCTCAGTTCAGCTTCACTCTTCAGCTGATGGAGACTCTCAGTCACTTGTTCTGGAGATGAACCCACTCAGCAGAGTGAGAGAACAGACTCAGGGAGCGAAGGAGCAAACGTTCTCCACCTTCACTCATCAGACTCACTTTGATCAAGCTGCTGCTTCAAGGTAGAAAAGTTTCATCGTGTTGATTCAAAGCTTCATCAGCTGGGTGTGTTAGTCCTGCAGGAGGCGCTCACGGTCTCTGAGGTCGAGCTGCCTTGTGTCCCTGCTCTGAACTCATTTCAGCATCTGATCCTGTCAACAGATCCAGAAATGAGACGAGGACGTTGACTCAGTTTGTTTTCCAGGAGCAGAAGCTCCCTCCACACCTCTCAGCCCGTCACTCTGGTCCGTGTGTCTTCATGTCAGTTTTGTGCCTTTTCACATCGATGTTTTGCCTTTTTCAGCACCTGCCATTACAAACGTGTCGTGGGACGAAACAGCTGCTGCTAGTCGAGCTTTTCTCTTCCATTCAAGTGAACAGAGAATATATATGTGTGTGTGTGTGTGTGTGTGTGAGTGTGAGAGAGAGAGAGAGAGAGAGACACCAATCAAACATTGTCAAGTCTCAAGCACTGAATCTGTATCCGTTACTACAGGAAACTTCAAACATCATAATACAACAACGATGTTCATCGATTGTGTTTTTAGATAAATCACATGATCCAGTTTTTAACCACGGCTCCACTGATCAGATCGAGATTTTTCTTTCTCATTAAATTCACTTTACAACCAATTATATAGAATTTGAAGAAAACATTTCAAATCTAAACATAAATGCTTCTCTCCAGTTTTGATTCTGGAAAACAAAGGTCAGTGAAGCAGATAAAAACATTCTGTACTTTCAAAGTTCACTTTAGTTGTGTAACAGAAGAGAACCTTTATTTTTCTGTGACGCAGCTTTAAAGTAGTGAAGAAGTCTTCTACTCTTCAGCTCACAATTATTTTCCTTATTGAGGAATCTGTTGGTTGATCTTCATCAATTATATCAAACAATATTTCAACATATTCCCCAAACTGGATTATTCAGAGGTGAGAGATAAAACATGACGTGTCGGTGCAGCTCTGATCTTTGATGAACATGCACACGTATGATCTCTGACTGCAGCTGCTGAAAAGTGTTGCTGGGTGTCACACGTCACAGAGAGTGAGAGCTGTGTCAAAAACTATCAGCAGAAAATCAAGTCCATAAATAATCAATTATATTTCTCAACGTTTCTGTTCTGACGACTTTGTACACTGCTTGAGATTCAACCTGAATTTATTGACGAGTCTCTGTTGAGTTTCTAAATGTTGAATTTGTGAGTAGAATGAAAAGAAAACGTGAATATGGAGGGAGATGTTCAGTCACACCTGCAGGTCGTCAGAGGAGGAGTCACAGAGTAACGATTGTAAAATGCAGATCAATGATTTTGTTTATCCAGATTATTCACGTCTTCGTCTTCCTCCGTCTTCTCAGGATTCTTTTCTTCCGCTCCGTCGCTCGTTTCATCTCTTCAGTTGGTTTGAGTGAATGTTTTTTCAGCAGCATGCCATAGAAAACGCATTTCTGATGTCGCAGTCAAACGTGGGCTATCTGATATTTATTATTGTAACACACTGGTTTTGCTGCAAGATACTATTTTCAGTAAGTATGTTATTTGTGTAATAAAGTGTCTGCAAAGCATCGTGACGGCGTTTCTTTATTTCACTCCCTGTCTCAGTCACAGCTTTAACTTTGGAATAATTCATTATTCTACTGATGCAGTAATGAACCATTAAACATGCTTCAGATCAAAGCCTCGGGAGGATGTGACTCGTCGTCACGGTGATGGAGCGAACACGCTGACACCACCAGTGGCTGATGGGATTAATGATAATAAGCTGCTTTATGTTGAGAATAGAATCAGTAAGAAGTGGAGCAGACGCAGCAGCTGATCAGTGACTGAGTCGACCTCGTTCACTCCAGACGCACGTTTGACAGAAGGTACGTTCTTCTCTTTCTGTGTACGAAAGTTATTCAACATGTCGACAACATGTAAACATGTAGACGACATGTAGACGACAGTAAATTACGATGTAGCCTGTCACCAGACTCTTCTTCATGATTTTCTTTATTATTGAGGAGCAGAGAAATGTGAACTCTCCTCCTCGTGCTCTGGAAATCATTTGTTTTCAATGAGAAGCATTCAGTCTCTTTCTCTGTTTGTGATATTGTGTTAATCCACAGATTGAATCGCTCTGTGTTCACGTCTGTGTGAGAATCGAGTTCTAATGTTGCTGTCGTCATTGTTACTGGTTTTCTGTTTGTGACGATCTGATATTTTTACTCACAAACTTTATTTTCTGGGTAAAAATACAAGACTCAAAAAAAAGATGAGGAAAAAACAACTGAAGTTCATTTGATCATCAGGAAACTTCTGCATGTTCCTCATGTTCCTCATGTTCCCTCTGGTTCTTAATATTCCCTCTGGCTCCCTCGTGTTTTTTAAAGGTTCCCTCATGTTCTTAATATTCCCTCTGGCTCCCTCATGTCGTCTCATCGTGTTCCCTCTGGTTCCCTCATGTTCCCT